ACCCTCCCTTCTCACCTCTGTGGCTTTCCTACTCACCCTCGCGCCTCCCCTTCTCTCTCCCGCCTTCTCTTCGATCTCCTGCACGTCCACCCGTACCTCGTTCCTCCACCAACGCTCTCTTTCCTACTCTAGCCACTTTTCACTCTCTCGCTCAATCACACACACTGTCGCTCGCTCGCTGCCGGAAACGGAAGTCTAGATATATTATATGTATATATATTTTTTTCAATAGTTTTAATGTATCATAACCTAATTTATACTTCTTTATAATAATTAATACATAATTATTTAAAAAAAAAATATATATAAGAAGTATACATTAGATTCATTAAAACTATAAAATTTTATACATTTAATATGCTTTATTTTAATTTAAACATTTTAATTGTGAAACTTTTTAGTAATATATAATAATTTTCACATGTTTTTTATAAATTTTTAATAATTGTTTGGATTATTATAGTGAAATAACAGGTTACGTCAGTTCAATTTTTCAAATTAAATCAAGCGAAAGGAATAACAAAAAAACGCATCTCTTTAATTTCATTATGAGCAACGGTGAAATTACCATTCAAATCACAGCTTGGAACGAATTAGCTATCAAATATGCAGCTTTAATAACTAAAACAGAACAGGTGAGGCATTTTTATATATAATATATAATATTATAAAAAATTCATTTAATAGCATTAATAAATTTTAACACAAATTTCAAAGAATTTAAAGGACTCGGAGCCGTGACAGGATGGTAGTGTCTAAATATTCTATTCTAAATTTATTGCGAAAAAATATCACCTCGGCCAGGGTTTGATTCGAATTGGTTGAGATGCCCGCCTAGCGAGAGGGAGGTCCAGGTTCAAACCCTGGCCGAGGTGATATTTTTTCGCAATAAATTTAGAATAGAATATTTAGACACTACCATCCTGTCACGGCTCTGAGTCCTTTAAATTCTTTGAAATTTGTGTTGAACACATACGAGCCTTACTAATTTATTTAATTTAATAAATTTTAAATTACTTAATTTAATTTTAAAACACATATTAAATATATTTTAAAAATATAATCATGTATGTGTTTTCTGTTATTTATAAATTACTTAAAATATCTATTATAAATAATAATATAAATAATATAAAATAAGTAAATAGTAATATAAATAATTATGATTTTTTCAACATTTACTATAATAATAAAAATAAATTATAAAATTATAGGTTTATACTTTACAAAAGGTAGTACCTAAAATCCCTTCAAAAAAAGAATTTTTACACACTGCATCTTTCCCATATGAATTACTAATTCGAACTTGTACTATTGTCGTACCTATTGGCATTTATAAAACACCACAACAAATTGAAAATATTCATGTGACCGAAATACATCAAGCCAGAGCAAAAAATGGATTAATAATAGGTAATTTGGTTATTTTTAAGTTCCAATTTTCTAATTATTGCCAAATCAAATATTATTATTTTTCTGAATAAATTAATAAAAGTTTAATTAATTATACAAATTAATTATTTGTATAATTTGTATACCGTATACCATATTTTAATTTATTTACAGAAATAATTAGTTATATAAAAATGATTTTCGAAAAATCACCCAACAATAATTTTTACATTGGTGCGATCACCGACGGTCATTATAATCTAACTGTTTTGATTACACTTGACGGAAAATTTGAGGATGACTTCACTTATGGATCACAAATTATGGTAACTGGAAGAATGCGAGTCCTCGACAATAAACCACCCTACCTTTCAGTTTCTTCGATAAGAAATATAAAACTACTCGATGGCGAAAAAATGTCATTTTTAAAAACCTTAAATGGCTATCATCCTATCCCATAAATTTAAGGGAGACTGTTCGCGACTCTCTTTTGGGAGAGCTCGCTGGACCGCTGCGGTTGGTAGCAGGGCTGAGAGGACTTTGCGGCGAGAGATCGGGGAACGGATGTACGCTTGAGAGGTTATAAATCACGTGATCGTAACTCGGATAGTTAGAGTAAAATACCGTGGTCCGTTTAATACATGTAAAAAGCTTACAGTTGAGCAGTCTAGAGTCTAATGGGGATGATCTGTCTCTTTGTCACTTGCACGGGTTGATTGTACTAATCGATGACCGGCCTCGTGATTGCGGATGCCCGTGAGCCGTGTCCACGCGACGCCGGCGTGCGATGCGTGGTGAGCTTGTGCTGCCGGTGATGCTGTATCCCGAGCTGTCCTGGTTGAATCGCACTGCTGAGTTCACTCTTTGTCCACACTGAGTCTGTCCGTGATTAAGAAAGTCCACTATAGCACTTGAGAATCTTTAGCACTGCACGACGCGTGTACTTCGTACTATGGCCATGAGCGAAAAGCCCCGGAAACGAGCGTGCCGAAGCGCGGTCGCCTCGCGTCGCGATCGGGCATGCGCGCGCAGCGCCCCTGTGGCGCTGCACGCTCTGATCCGGCTGATGCTGCCATCACGCCGGTGACGAACAGACCGAGATTCATAATTGAATCCGGAACAGAGACAGATAGTGTTCAACATATGGTAAACAACATGAATTGATAGTTAAGAAATTGAAAACTTGTATATCTTTTGCTTTGTTCAATGAAAGACGTAATTAATAGACCACAATATATAAGTTTTCAATTTTACCTATCAATTCAATATTTACCAGTTCAGTGTTTTGCAATTTTTATTGTAATCAAAATAAAATTGATTTTATAACTTGCGTTACGTTTCTTATATTAGGTTGATGAAAAAGTTCGTCCCAGTTTTTAATCAATAAATTTATTGATTAAAAATCGGAACAAAC